CTGAAGATACCGCAAAGGATGCAAGTGCCTACAGTATTATCAGGAGGAGAACATGAACATGTTAAGACAAAAATCCTCAGCAGTGGTTCTCCACCCTTTCTCCATCTCCACCAGCATGGAGAAGTAAATCTACACCTTCTTCTAGTTCTGAAGTCTTAGAATACTGATGGATTGTTGAGCATGAGACAGAGCAAAGGGTAGATATACAAGGTACAAGATCATAGGAGCACAATTTCTTGATCTGAGGAAAGTAGCATAGAATGCAATTTGAAAACTACAGGCTTAGGACTCTGTGCCAAAATCTCTATTTTAAATGAAAATATTTACATGAAAATACATTTATTCTTCTTAATATAAATTAAAACTGGCATAGAATTTTATGATAATAACATGATTCATTAAGAGATGTGAGGTAGTGTTTTGAGAATGCCAAAAATCAATTTTCAGAATAGCTACAGTTTATGAAATCTGAAAAGAAACATAAAAATTGAAAGTGACCTTAAATAATAATTCTCCTAATTTTTCCTCATTTCCTATGTTGATAACTATTTTAAGAGTTCAACTTTCTGGAACTGAAGGAGAAAACATGAAAATGTTTATATCACTTCTTGTTAAGTAGGTAGACCAAATTCAGCCTTCAGTAATTCATCCGTAAAGAATTTGGATGACGATGTATAAAGGAAAACTTAAATCTTAACTACCAGTTTAAATTTTTTCTCATTTGTTGAATGACAAAGGCAATAAAAATAAATTTGACTTCATTTAGCTTTTTCTCTATACTTTCTTTTTGTAATTCTTAAATTCTAGTTACTAGTCATTATGAAGGAGAGTATTGATTAAATATTGTCACAATCTAAATTTCTGTAGTACAGAGAGCCCTAGCCCTTTGTAAAGACCTTTCTTCATCCAAACAACATTTGATCTAACCAAAGTTCCGATGTGACTGTAGATTTTTAATAGCTCTTTGATGTTGATTGTAACGAAATTTGATTTTAACTACCTGTAAGTAAAGTCAGGGATAATTACTTTATATGTAATGCTAAGGGGAGACTGTTGAGAACAGTTATGTCAATGAGCAAACTAGAAATTGGCTTCAAAGTCTGATACCTTTAAAAGCACGTGTTTTGTGTATATTCCAACGAAATGTCTGTGGAGAGATTTCTTTCAGCTTTTGCTCAGCTTTGTGGTAGGGTGTACTGTTTTACCAGTGGTGAGGTTGTTGATTTATAGAAAAAGTGTAGAGAAACACAGTACAAATCTTGGCACGTTTTACATTTATTGTACTGCCCAAATCATGTTTATGTTAAAAGTCACGTTTCTTAATCAGTTATGAGAACTGCAATATTTTTGTCAAAGTGCACACTGTACTTTCTTCTTAAAAACGTGATTAAAGAGATCACTTTGTCCAGTTGAAGGAGCCGTTGGTATTATCCACTGAGGCTTGAACACCACATGTTGATTCTCTCATCAATCTGAAAATGAACTCTTGTGGCTCAGAACACACTGGTGGTTTCACGTGTGTGGCTTGCTGCTACTTTTTATCCCACTTTTTAACCAGCCATTTCTTCAATCCCCTTCTAAGGAAAGCAGAAGCCTTGTTTGGGTACCAGCTGTGTGGCATAACCATGGCTCCTTGTCCCTGACAGATGACACTTTTCTTTAGAATCCCCCCAGCATCATCCACTCTGGGTCCAGCTGACACCCTTAAACAGAGGTCAGCCACCCTGGGGGTGTGCATCTCAAACATGCAGACGGGGCTTTGCAGACCACCTCAGTGTCATGCTGGTGCATCATTTTTTTTTATTCTTTTTGTTTTCTTTTCTAATTTCCTGCACCTTTTCAGATAAAATAATATTTTACTACTTCTAAGTATAGCTAATAAATAATAGCTTCATTCTCTTAACCACATGGTCAGGAAATGAGTTTTTCTAGGTGTAGAGTTAACCTATCTACTGTGAATAGATTTTTATCAACTTTTCAATCTACACAGCATATGGATTATTTTGAATGGTTCAGAACCTACGTCAAGACTTTTCAGTATGTGCAGAGGTTGTCTGGGAATCTGTTGTTCTCCTACTGAAGGGTACAGAAATGTCACTCCACGAGCTGCCCAACAGACAGAATGCCAGACACAGAGGCTGTGGTTCTTCTGATTTCCGAAACAAAACATCTTGAATTAAAAATTCAAACCATTTTCTCCTTTCTTATTTTATTGGCTTCTGTTGGGTCATAAGTATGACTGGAGATTAAATTTCTAATTTAGATGAAGCTCTTTGTATCCAGTTAGGATAACCCTGCTTACCAAACAAATGTTGTGTATGTACATAGATGAAGGAAACTTTCCCTGTTTCTATGAAAAATCTTGCCAAAGTTTAAATATTAAATCACATGTAAACCTTTAATCGCTAATGGAGAAAACGATACATACATGAAAACAGAACAGTCCCAGCTTTTATATTTATGTATGAAACCACTCTCGTTTGTGTTCAATGGGATTGTGATGGCTAGAATTCTTGAAAGGTAAGAACTTCAAAGTATTAAAAATATCAATTCTATTAATTCTAAATCCACATATCTCAAACTAGGCTACCTCTATTACAGCGTAACCGAAACTGATTAAAGGAATAAACATTTTAATTGGTTCATTAAGTTTTATATCTAAAAAGGCTCTAAAAAGGGCTCAAAGATGGTGTATGCTTTGAAATACAAAATACTTCCTTTCCACACCTAAAGAAAAATAGTTAATTCTAATTATTGCCTTACCAAATAATTTTTAAAGATTATACAAAGATGTGTATTTACACACCAAATTTTAGGTTTCCATGAATACATAGATTGGTATCTGATTAATAAACAATAGATTTGCTACCATAATTATGTCTGACTATTGGACCTCTATAAGTCCTGACCTTTAGCTGAAAAGTTATTTTGAATGGCAGTTCCAGCTCAGCATGCTTTCAGTGTCATTCATGCCAAAGAGATGCAAAGTGAAGGTACTTTGAAGGTGACCCAAGGAAAATGCTCATCCTTGTCAGTGACGTCACAGATGGGGCCAAACAGATGTTGGGCTTTGTGATGGCCAGGCCTGTGCTTCAGACCCACAGATCAGACTACTTAAGGCAAACACCTACTTTGTCATGTACATACAGACCCACAAGGGTCCAGCCTGAGTCAGCAGCAGAACACCTTTATTATGTTTGCCTTGGATATTTCATGTGGTTTCAATTTCATTAAGTAAACTTGGGATAGGTTTAGGTAGGTAAGCTATCACACCAAAAACTAGTTCTCAGTCTGGATAAGAGGCCAAGTCTCAACTATTCAAAATAACATGGAGATTCTTTGGTAAGCCTGAAGGAAGACTGTCTCCTATCCATGCTGTAATTTGCGATCATTAATAGATATTTTAACCACTGTCTTCCTCTACAGTGGAGGCTTTGAGAAAAGAACTGTATTTATCAAGATGTAGTATAGTTTAAACAAAGACTGATCAAAATACAATTCTTTGTTCAAACAAGATCCTTACCTTTTATTATTATGCTGTGTAAGTTACTAGCCATAATTAACACTCCTTCCTTAATGTTTATAATTATCTTCTCCCTGGAAGGAATGATACAAATGGTGTTCAAGTCACTTTTAAAAATAAAAATCAGTGGCCAGGCACCATGGCTCATGCCTGTAATCTTAGCACTCTGGGAGGCCGAGGTGGGTGGGTCACCTGAGGTCAGGGATTTGAGATTAGCCTGGCCAACACAGTGAAACCCTGTCTCTACTAAAAATACAAAAATTGGCCAGGTGCCTGTAGTCCCAGCTACTCGGGAGGCTGAGGCAAGAGAATTGCTTGAACCTGGAAGTGGACGTTGCAGTGGGCCAAGATTGCGCCATTTCACTCCAGCCTCAGCGATGGAGTGAGACTCCATCTCATAAATAAATAGACGAATCAGCAATGTTTCTTATATTGAGTCAGGAAAACAGAAGTTTTGCTTTTATTGTTTTAATAGACAGCTCTCTATAAAATGGTGTTTAGACAGATACCTGTTTGGGAAAAATGAAGGATCTAAATATTTGTCCATCTGCTTAACTAGAAATAAATCCTACTGTAAGATGTTACCTAAAAACTAAAGTTGACCCTTCGATAACAGATTTGAACTATACAGGTCCACTTAAATGGGGATTTTCTTCCACTTTTGCCACTCCTGAGACAGCAAGCTCCATCCCTCCCTTCCTCCCCTTCAGCCTACCCAAAGTGAAGATGACAAGGATGAAGACCCTTATGATGATCCCATTTCCACTTAACATTTTCTTTTTCTTAACATTTTTTCTCTAGCTTACGTTATTGTAAAAATACAGTATATAATTAATGTTGTTGGTAGGGCTTGTCAACAGTAAGCTGTTAGTAGTAAATTTTTAGAGAGTCAAAAATTACAATCAAATTTTCTACTGTTTTGGGGACTTGGCAATCCTAACCCCTGCATTGTTCATCAAGTGTCCTCCATTTACTGGCCATCAGTATGTCAGATTATGTACGTATTTGGTAACTGCATAATGGTTTTAAAAGCCGAAGCCTTGTTTATACTATTAAGACGTGTTCTAGCATACTGGAGATTACATTTTTCAAAGCACTTCTGGATCCTGAATTGAAATATGTGGCAAGAGACACCAATAACTTTTTTTTTTTGTACTTTAAGCTCTGGAGTACATGTTCTCATCCTGCAGGATTGTTGCATAGGTACACATATGTCACAGTGGTTTGCTGTCTCCATCCCTGCATTGCCTACATCAGGCATTTCTCCCGGTGTTATCCCTCCCCAACCCCCCTGCCCCCAACTGTCCCTCCCCTCCTCTGGGCCCCCCACCTCCTAATGTACCCCAGTGTAAGGATGTTCCCCTCCCTGTGCCCATGTGTTCTCATTGTTCATTACCCGCCTACGAGTGAAAACATGTGGAAGATATACTAATAACTTCTAAAAATACACCTTATTAGAATATATGATAGTACTTCATTACAATTATAAAGAAGTTTTATTATTGAAGAAAATTATCATGTGTCTGGCAAGTTCAAGAAAAAAAAATTAGGGCTGAAAAAAAGTTATTTTAATCCATCAACCTGTTCCAAGAAAAGCTGTGTTACATACCATCCTGGCTAAATCTGTGGTAACCTTGTTTTAGAGGCTTCATAAAGGCTATTGTTAAGTTAGCTTTTGGAGGTAAAGAGGTATGGAGATTCACTCTCATGGCTATTATGCATTCCAAATAAATAGCTGTTTTCTGAATGCAGTTGCCCAAATGCCTAAATTTTCTCAGGCTGGACTGATTCTCACTCCTGACAGATTTCTAAATATCTTATAAAAGTGTCATCAGGAAGATGTCAAGCAACTCTTTGAAATTCCTCAAAGCTGCACACTCATCACTTGGGAATCACTCATAGCCTCTCTTGCAATCGTCCTGAGGGCCACAACTTCTGCCTGCTGTCCCTGTCCTTGCAACCAGCTCTCCCCCAGGACCACCCTTAAGGTACTGCCCCAAAGTCCAGACTGCTCCTTGGACCTCCAGTTAATCCTCCTCACTGGGGCTGGAGAGCTCTTTCTAAACAGGATGGTCTTCGGAGCACTCTACCGCATGAATTCTTCCATTGTTCCCCTTTATCAGTCAATACAAACTCAACCCCTGAGCACGGTGGACGAATCCATTCTTGATCTAACTCAGTGAGTCCCAACTCCAGATGTGCACAGAAACACACAGGGTACTTCAAGAGTCGGGTTCCCATGGTCTAAGGCAAGCAGGCAGGATACAAAACAGCTCCTTCTGTTGGCCCCAGGTGCAACTCTTGCAGAATTAACTCCCCAAGGTGCCACCCAGCCTGGGTTTGGAACCTTGCAGGTGATTCCTGTGGCCACACACACCCAGTGCCTTCTCAGAATTTTATTCATCCCTCTAGACAAGAGGGCAGAATCTTCCACTCTATGGAACCCAAAGCCTGGAGACCGGCTCCCCAGCAGTCATAGCTGGCAGAAGGTTGGAAAGGGTGCCATTTCCTTCACAAATATTTCAGAATAAGATTCCATAGAATATTGAACCCTATGAAGATATTTTTGTCAGCCTGACACTTCAGAAAACAAGGTACTCAAGAGAATTTAAAAAATGAACCACCACAAAGGTTAATTGAGCAGATTTAATTTCCCTGAGTTTATACTCCATAAATGATACAAATACTACCCATTAAACCAGGGCTTTTCAAATTTTACTGTGCAAAAAATCAGTTAGGTATCTTATTAAACTGGTCCCCAACACATCTGAGCTCGGGCTTGAGTGTCTGCAGGCCTCACAAGCTCCCAGGTGGTGCTGACGCTTCTGGTCTCTGGGTCACACTTTGAAGAGCAAGACAATAAATAATGTAAAAGGGGGTCATGAGAAAAGGTGTACCTACAAAATATCACATAACAAAATACTAAAGTCACTACTGGAGAGTAACAAACATGTTTCTCTATAAGATCAGTCTTTCGTTTTTAATATTTTCATGTGGCTGATTATAAAGACTCATTAAGTTTATGGATTTTTTAAACTTCAAAAATAAAGTTCTACAATTAAAAAAAAAAAGACTATAAGAGCTTTTAAGAAGCTTGGCTATTTCTGAGAGTGAAGAAAGCTTTGAGATTCAAATTCCTCTAAAATTCTACTTCACTGCATAAACCCTTGATTATTTATTGCCTTTTGAGTCTAATCTCCATGACATTTGATTTGCTTTTTAAGGGCAAGGTCATTTTATATATTAATATTTTGGTCTTCTCAAAAGCATTTAACACTTACATAAAAGTTCACAATTGTAAAACCTAATCACAAGTCCGTTTTTTTTTTTTTCTTGTAGCAAGATAGGAAAAAGGACCATCTTCAAACTAAAACATACTTCCAATTATTTATCGTATTTGATTTTACTCCATGACTTCTAAAATACAGAAATGTTTCCTGCTTTACAAACAATAATTAAAGATATGACAAATTACTGCAGTGCACTAAAATATTTACAATTATGCATGTGTTAAGTTGAAAACAGGCATAACATCCTAGTGGACTAATTAAGGAATGTGAACTTCAACTGCCTGTGGGCGGGGGGCCTTAAGTAACTTTAATTTTAATTAATGCTTGATGTAATCCCAATGGCCAGCCTGCCTGGTGCATGTCTCCCTGCAAGGCTACGTTCATGTTCTGTCTGGGCCTCTCCCTCTTGTGGGCTCCTGGGCACTGTATATGGAACTCCAGTTTAGATGAGAAATGGCATACCAAAATATTTCCCTTTTGATCAACAGAATGCTTGTCTTTGCGGGCATGAAATTCAAAAGAAAGGATATGATTCTTAACATGAGACACAGTAGCATCAAGTTCTTCTGTTATGACATGCCACCTGACCCTTATTCTGCATAAGCGGTTCATTTAAAAAGCATTCCTATGCTTTGGCTGCACCACTGGGTTCTGTTAGCACCAGAAGGATGCAACCCGACTTTCCAGGCTTCCAGGAGCAGACTGGCATACCCAGCATCTAGGTGGTTTAGTCCAACTTCAGAGCAAGCTGGGCTCTCAGAGGTACAGAGCACAGGGAACAGGCCCCAAGGACCCGCTGCTCCATCATGCAGTACAACTGCTGAGAGCTGGGACAGGTGTAACACGCTGTGATTATGAACACAATTTTAAGACTCCAAATTTAGTCAGCTGTGTAAAAACAGCCAAGCCTATGTATTTAATCAAAATCAATGCAGTCTCAGTGTGGTCTTTTCTACTGCCATGAGAAATTGTCAATGGTGCTTACAAAACACCATGGATTTCTTCGCCCCACCCAAGCCCACTGAATCATCTCTGGGGGTGAGGTCAGTATCTGATTTTTAAGCAGGTTTGAGAAGCCATAGGCTGCTTCTAATAAAACAGCTTCTTCAATTTGTAGGATTTTGATAGAAAACTCCCTCCCAGTGTATGGAATTTAACTAAAAACTCAAGTTCCAGTTGATCAGAATTTGACTGACATGTCACCCTATTTTTTAGCAGGAAAATGCTTATGGTTTCTTTCCTTCCTCTACGCATCATGTTCTTTTACTCCACCACCACTTCCCTACCCTGTAGCTGGTAGTTTTTTCACTCTTGAAAAATGTAACCTCATTAGCCCAGACAGGAAGAAGAGACTCAGATGGGAAGAAGAGACTTCCAGGTAAACGTTGAATATTCTCCCCTTGGAAAAGCTTCGCTCCAGTCTTAACCTTCCTGTGAGCTTCCGTGACTTCTGATCTTCCTGCTGGCGTAGCTGTATGGCCAAGGGCCGACTTGGATGCCCAACAGCGCACACCTACCTGGAAATGTTTCCCTTCCACCCCAACCCTTTCCAAAGTGTCCTTCTCATTATGGCCTCTGGCCCTCATTCAGCTGTCTCAAATTTTGTTTCGAATTTGTTTTGTCCAAATCTATCTATTCACTTTTTAATTTACCATTCCCATCACCATTAGAGTGCGGTTTGTTTAGAGACATTATGAAAATGGCCACTAAGGCTAATGCAGCGCCCAGACTGGGGGGACCACAAGGGCTGACCTCCTGGGCAATCCCCGAGAGGAGAGGGGCGATGATGCGGCCCACTGCAGTCACAGACTGCCCCACACCGATGACTGTGCCGCTGGCCCGGGCCCCGCCCACGGTCAGCTGGAGGTCCGTGATGCATGTCCTGCCAATGGCAGTGGAGAAGGACAGGAGAGTGGAGGAGATGACAACTGCACCTATGGTGGGGGCCAAGGAGTAGAGCAGCAGCAGTGTGCAGGTGAGCACACTGGAGTGCAGCAGCAGGGCTTGCGAGTTGTGCTTGTACAGCCGTAGGATCGGCCCCAGGGCAAGGCCAGCCATGGCACCCAGCATGCTGGTATAACTGATGAGATAGCCTATCACCTTGGGCCGCAACCCAAAGCGCTCCTCCAGGGCCAGGACAAAGTTACTGTAGTACAGCATGACTGCCAAGGCCATCAGCAAGCGCACCAGAAATATGTCCCACATTTCAGAAAACAGCAGGTTCTTCATGTCCTGCAAGGCCAACACCACTTTGACCCAGGGCCAGGCAGCCTTCTCGCTGGCCCTGGCTCTGCAGCTGGTAGCTGCCTCCTGCACTGTGTCATGGCTCCTTCCCAACAGCATGTGAGTCTTTCGCCATAGCAGGCCCTTCTCTGTACTGCCCGGTTTTGCTTCCCTCCATGGAAAGAGCCAAACGAGACCTGTTAAAATGGCATGAGACCCATTAAAGTATCTGAATGCACTGAATCCATACACTAACCTCATTGGGGAAGGAACAAGTATTTGTGTTAGATTACTAATCTATATTTTTGTACTACACTTACTAGTCTGTATTTTTGTATCTAGTTTTTCACCATTTCTATAGCTTTATTCTGACATCAGGATTCTGGCAAAAGACTCTACGCCTTTAAAAAAGAATACCACAATACCTACAAAATACTGCTTTCTCTCATCTCAAAAGCCTATGATGGTTTTCTACATCACATCATTTCATATCTAAATTGTTATAAATTTAAATTCTTCCTTTATTAACTTTGTAATTCTCTGCCTAGTTGTTATCTGTCCATCCATCTATCCAACCACCTAGACATCCAATATTCATGGAGTGCTTAAGTGCTTAATATAGAAATATATTACCACAGATGAGGCCTCTGAAAACACTGAACTCAAGACACTAACACCTAAAAAGGGGTTCAGATAAGAAAAGATGCAACCAGATTGCGATATAAGGGCCATGCTGGGGCAAGCACAGGCTGCTACATATGCAACAGCCTGCCTTGGCTTGATGGGTGAGCAGGTACAGCTTGGCCAGCTCTCCCTGGGAAGCACCTGCTTGGATCTGCCCCAAGTTAGGGTCATTTACCGCTTGTTCAGGTCACATCTGCAAACCTCAGGGGGCACCACTCTCATAGACCACAACATATACAACCTTACACAGTGGCTCTGACTGATACTCAGATGATCCCACCTCTGTCCTCATAGGACTAGCACATTCTTGCCTGTTATCTCTTGCAAATTCATGTCCAAAAGTGTTCTTAAGACTAAATTCAAACTTGCCATTCTGGGACATCTTTCCAAACTCCACCCTACTGTTTTTTCAGTTCTTTAGTACTTAAAAGTTTAACTCAGACCAGTGGCTATTCACTCCTGCTTTATGTTGTTTTCAGCAACTTCATTTGTGTGTCATTTCTCCAAATATTGTCTAAGTGCTTCAGCCATAGACAAATTTATGACAGAAAACCAAACACATGAGAACGTGGATCTGGACTTTTAATAATTCAATCTTAAAGGGCCCTTGAACATTATCTAGAACAGTGATAAAAATGTGAAAGAATTATTGCTGATAGACTAAAAAAATTAAAATAAAATGATGATGATGATGATGATGGCAACTAACATCTGTTGAGTGCTTACTATAAGCAATCTACCCACCTATCCATCCATCTATCCAATCATCAATATTCATGGAGTACTTACGTGTGAAAAGCTAGGAATATATTAACAAACAAGACAAGGTCTATGAAATCCTACCTCTGGCACTGGGGTAAGCTGCTCGTAAGCAGAACCTCTTACGGTTCTCATAACAAGGCTATGTGTTTTGTTACCCCATTTTATAGATGAAAAAATGGGAGACAACTTGCCCAAGGGTCACACTAAAAACTGGTAAAACAGGGATCTGAACCCAAGTCTGTCGGACTCCAGAGTTTTGAGTTCGTAAACCTAAGAACAGAAATCACGATGAAAAGGCTTTCTCATGCAAAGTGGCAGACCAGAGGAGGATATAAGAAGCTAACAGAGTAAAAGCGTTGAGGAAAACAGCTATAGTCATTGTGGGGCGGGGGAAGGATGGCAAGGCTGGGACAAAAAAGCAGCACAATATTATGTTCACTGGACTGAATGGCCAAAGCCCTCGGTGGGACACTGTGTGCCGTCTGGCCGGGTCATCTTCCCACTCCTCCTCTGCTAGACTATCAGCCCCAGCCTGCCTAACCTCAGATTTCTTATGTGATAAAAACAAGTCTCTCTTTCTTTAAGCCGTTGTAGTTGGGAACACTTGCAGTGAAAATGTTTTCCTAACTGCTTCCACCCATTTACAGGCTTAAGATAGGGCAACATATTAAATGGCACTATGTTTAAGGACGCAAAATAGAACTCCATAACCAATTTCTTCATTATGTGCTGACTTTCAATTTTGAGTGAATCAATATTTATGTACCTTCCTTTATATGTGAAGATAACCTGGCCACGTCAACGGGGCATGTATTTGAGACTATTTTATCTAGGTTTATGTGAATCCATCAGGCCGTCCCTCCTGATTTAAGTTACAGGTTAAGTAAATTCCTGGCAAAAAATCATAATGCATTCCTGTGAGGATTGAGAATAAGCTCATGAACTTTGCTTCCTGAGTCTGACATCCTAACCCAACATGGAAGTCATCATGCAAAACAGAACCCTGAATAGGAAGATTCAAAAAGCCGCAGTAAAGTACGATATCATTAAATGTAAGGAAAACTGCCTAGCATGAATTCCCTTGTTTATGAAGTCATTTATGCAAGGGCCAGCCATGCATCACTCTCTAAGGAAAGAAGATGAAAGACATTTTAAGCAACTAGCCCTGCATCCAAGGAGCTCACAGCCCTGTGTGTGTATGTGTGTGTGTGTGTGTGTGTATCTGTGTGTGTATCTGTGTGTGTGTGTTTATATGTATGTATGCATGTGAGACGGGGTCTCATTCTGTCACCCAGGCTGGAATGCGGTGGTGTGATCACAGTCCTCCTGCCTCAGCCACTCGAGGATCTGGGACCACAGTTATGTGCCACCGTGCCTAGCTAATTTTAAAAAAAGTTTTGTAGACAAGGTCTCACTATCTTTTCCAGGTTGGTCTCAAATTCCTGGGCTCAAGCAATCTTCCAGCTTCAGTCTCCCAGAGTGCTGGGATGACAGGCATGAGCCACTATGCCCAGGCCAGTGTGTATTCTGCACAGGGGTGATAGCAGTGAATAAAGCCGACAAAACCTCTTCCCTCATGGGGTCTGCCTCCTGATGTGGGGGGACAAACAGAATGTAAGCAGTAAAATAAATTAATAACATAATTTCAGGAATGTTATAAAGAAAATTAAGCTATTTTAGGCAGAATGGTCAGAGAAGACCTAAGGAAGCAGCTATTTCAGTCTTCAGTGATGAAGAGAGCCAATAAAAGATGTGGGATGAATGTGGCAGGTAGAGGACTGGCCTGGTACAGTGCCCTCCGATGGGAATGAGCCTGGCATGCATACTCTCATACAGCAAGCCAGTGTGGCCAGAATGCATGGAGGGAAGCAGAGAGAGGGGCACGGTCTGTCCATCACCTACCACCATGCCAGCTGTGAGGCATGTGCATTATCATGATAGAAGCCACCGGGAGTCTGTAGCAGGAGATGGCATGGTCTTTCTTTTTCACTTTCATAACTGTATTTAAATTTATATTAAATACGTTAAAAATAAAAGATTTCCCTTTTAAATTGCAACTAAAATATTTACCATGCAGAAGAATAAAATTAACCCCTTCCTCATACCACATACAAAAATCAACTCAAATGGATTAAAGACAAACATAAAACCTGATACTGTAAAAGAGAAGGTAGAAGCTTCTTAAAATCGGCCTTGGCAATAATTTCTTAGATATAACAACAAAAGCACAGGCAAACAAACAAAAAAAGACAAACAGGACTACCTAAAACTAAAAAGCTTCTGCACAGCAATGGAAACAAATCAGTAAAGTGAAAGAGCAACCTGGAAACAATCTGCAAAGCAAAAAGTAACCTGCACAGTGGATATGATTTGTAAACCACACATGTGATAAAGGGTTAATATCCACACTATACAAGGTGGATATTCAACAGCAAAAAACAAAACAAAACTCTGTTTAAAAATGGGCAAAGACCTGGAACCAACCCAAATGCCCATCAACGTTAGACTGGACAGGGAAAATGTGGCACATATACACCATGGAATATTATGCAGCCATCAAAAATGATGAGTTTGTGTCCTTTGTAGGGACATGGATGAACCTGGAAACCATCATTCTCAGCAAACTGACAGAAGAGCAGAAGATCAAACACCGCATGTTCTCACTCATAGGTGGGTGTTGAACAATGAGAACACATGGACACAGGGAGGGGAGGACTACACACTGGGGTCAGTTGGGGGGAAATAGGGGAGGGACAGTGGGGGGTGGGGAGCTGGGGAGACACAGCAAGGGGAGAGATGCCAGATGTAGGTGATGGGGAGGAAGGCAGCAAATCACACTGCCACGTGTGTACCTATGCAACAATCTTGCATGTTCTTCACATGTACCCCAAAACCTAAAATGCAATAAAATAAATGGGAAAAAAAAAAGGGCACAAAATCTGAATACACATTTCTCCAAGAAGGTGCTCGATATCACAAATCATCAGGAAAATTCAAATCAAAACCACAATGAAAAATCACCTCACACATGTTAGGAGGGCCAATATGGACACATTTTTAAAAGGTAAGTGTTAATGAGCATGTGAAGAACAGAGAACTCTTGCACACTGTGGATGTGAATGTAAACTGGTACCGGCCACTATGGAAAACACTAGGGAGGTTTCTCAAAATGACTTTCATTTTTGGATGATGAGTCTATCCATTCTAATAAACACTAATTGAAAAGAAATAAAAGTGGGTAGATTAGTCAGTATGAATACACAAAACGGTCTTCTCATGACTGTCAACTTACCAGCATTGAGAATGAAGACCAAAAAGCAGATGAGGGCTGTGAGATAAAACCCATCCTCTAATTCAGTGAGATAGCCACCAATCACGGGGCCCAAGATGAAGCCCACACTGGAGGCTGTGTTGAAGTGTCCGATTACAAGCGGTCGTTCCTTCTCTGGAACCAGATCAGAAAGTAGAGCCCTTGAGATGGAGAGAGTGTGTTTAAAAATACCTGCAAGGGGATGAGAAACATGCTCTGTAACTTTTTCTAGACCATAAGTATCTCACTCATGATCCTGTGCTTAACCTCTATCCCTGACAGAGTTCTGATCTCCATCTTCTTTGGAAGGCAGCTATGCTCACCATCATGCCACCAGCACATGTGATCTTCATTTTCTTTGAACCTTTGGAGTCTTCCCATTCTACCACAGTTTTACTCCTGGCTTAGCACCCTGATGCTAGTCGATCACCTTATCTCTGGCCACCAAGTCCCTTAGCCCTCAGCTTGCCCACCTCCTGTCATGACCTCCCAAGTGTCTCCCAGTTACCCAACTGCATTTCATGGTGGCTTCCATGTAGCAAGTTATCATTCTTTGTACATTTACTCATTGAGCCAATATTTACTGCATGCCTACTCTATGGTGAGCCCTAATCTTGACAATGAGGATAAACCAAGGAACAGAGAAACGGAGCTGGGGAGAGGACAAGGAGTGTGTATAAATCTGATAGCACCATCATTGAACCAATATCAAGACCAATACCAGTAAGAGGCCGGTGAATTTGCTGAACAAATTGAATGCTGTCATATAACTTTTAATAAGAAATTAAAGTGCCTGATGACTATACTCCTATCTCTGCAGATGGATTTGATTCCCATGTCCCCAGAAACCCATGTGCAGAACAACCATACTTGCAAACATGCTGACATATTCTGGTAACCAGCAGCCCGCTATTTTGATCAACACATAGTAGGAATTCAATAAATGCCATTGGCGGATCTGCGTGAATCACGCAAGTGTGATCTCCCACAGGCCGTCACACTCTGCACATCACTGTGCCGCTGCCGAGGGCTTCAACGCACTCGTCCTACTAACCTATCCCAGCTCCACCTCAAATTAGTGTGGCTGGGTGCTTCATAGATAGCCAGCCTCTCTGGGAAGCAAATGCATAAAGCCTTTGGGAATTAGGTAGATGGACTCTCTCTAGACCTGTTTCCTGAAACCATCAGAGAGGACTGGGCCAGAACGTGATTCCCATAGGTCTTGCAGGAATTCTGTAATTGTTTCTGAAACTGTATTGATGTCAGGTTCACTTTACATACATGAGGGAAGAGGACTGTAGTAAGAGTAACCCATGAACAACCCAGCCTCAACTTCTCTAGTTTTTCAGAGTTTGGGGTGATGGACAGAGTAGAAACAAAAATGAGGCATCCAACTAAGGCACTTCAACCTCAGGCACTGACTCAAAGTCAGCTGCTCATTTTTAGGACACAAAGGTCTGAATCCACAACTGACTTTGTGAAGCAGAACCCTGTGAAGCCCCCGACAACTCGCTCCTATTCACGGACCAATAAACACCATGGAGGTTACATAGGCCAGGAGGAGTTTTTATGTATAGTTCTCATTTGTGAAGATTATAGTGACTGTTCATATAAGAGAACTCTCACTACTTAAGCCAGGCTCATTTGCTATTAAGTAAAACATTTTAATCCTCCCCATGAATCTCTATGCATTTTGTAACAACTCTAGCGTCTTTTTCATCTTCCCCATCGCTTCTTTAGATTTACGAACAGCACATAGCACTGAATGGTGGAGGGTGTTATACTGTAGAAAGACACACTGCCCACCAATAACAACAAATTCAACAGCAGATGCACATGCAACAGCTACCAGTTGAATTTTGTGTGTGGTACTGGGTTTTGCAGAGACAGCTGAACCACATTTAAGCAAGGCCCTTCATAAAGCATTTTCCACTCAACAAAAAGGCATGGTAAGAAATTTGGGGCTGAACTCTGCAGACTTTCAGAGTAAATGAAAAAAGTATATATTTCACAGAAATGGGTGTAGAAATCCCAGGTGAGCCAGCTGAACACCACTTCTATGTTAAAATGAGTTATTTGATGCTCTATTTATTGGGGAAGTCAGTTAAAAGCAAGCAGTTTAAACACAGGATGGTACCCAGTGCCTCAGACGAGTCGACCAGGGTAGCAAAGCCTGCCAGTGCTCTGACAAGTACAGTAAGAGAGAGACATTGAAGCTCCTCTAATTGCTAAGAATGGCAAAGAGAACAATGCTTCTACAGGAATAATCTACCCAACAAGGACTACCTGGCATTCACAGGCGGTGTTTCAAAAAATGGACAAAACAAAAAGCTAGTTCAAAACGTTAAAAATAGTCCAGACTGGTCTGGAAACAGCAAACTAGCTCATGAGCTACTATATCATAATCCCAGTGTCCCTGCAATTGACAGATGGAAGGAGGCCACAGGAAAGCAAAATAGGTGAATCCCAATTTGATGTCAGGAAGCTCAGTTACAAAACTACAGGCTCACCAAGGGAGAGAACAGGAACCTCGGTGCTGGTCAAAGAACTTAACAAATTTTTACTGACTGAATGCAGAGCAAGATCAACAGGAAGGAGACAAGTCCCAATACAGTAGTGTGATCATTCACACTGACAGGCTCTGAGGGGCAAGGGGCTCCATCAAGTACAACTCCAGCTTTGTTAATATAGCACAGCGCCTGGCCTGCGCCAAATATTCAATGGCCAGCAGCTGCTGGTGTCAGTTATAGTCATAACTGTCATTGTAATTAGTAAGTGCTTATCAAAGAGGCAATGTCCAGCAGAAACAGGCTTTACATAGAAAGACAGAGACAGGGAACTTTTTTTAATAATAAGACACACACACACACACACACACACACACACACACACGGAGAGAGAGAGAGAACTCACCTGCTGGGACTCTAGCCAGGACAAACAGGAACACATTACTGGCTGCTCCCAGAAGGAGATAGCCCAGGGCACTGAGTAGAATACAGGCCAGCAAGGAAGACCGTCTTCCCACCACATCGCTCCAGCAGCCCTGAGGAAAGCAAGAAAGAAAAAGCCCTTGGACTCCGCACAGTAACAACCATTACCATGCAAATGACCAAAACAAAGTAACCACAGGAAAACATCAGAAGATTCAGTGTCGGATCCTCAGATGCTAAATTCCATGATGCTATTGGTCAGAGTAAGTTATTTCTCTAATCTTCACACACGGTGAATGGAAAACCACAATGTATTTTTCTTTGTCCAAAAACAAAGTCTGATGGTCTGGTAGCTTAGAAAGGCTGGAGAGATGGTAAAGTATAAATTATAAAACCTCATTATTGTCTTTATTCTCATGACTTTATACAATTATACTCTTCAGATACATGTACAATTTTTGGAAATTTGGAAACTACTGAAAAACAAAATGAAGAATATAAAAGTACCTCATAGTCCCAAATGTACTGTACCTATATTTTAACAAAATGGTTATACAGTACACTCTACTTTGTAACTTCCTTTTTTTACTTAATATGACTTAAACATCATTCCACATTATAAAACTTTGCCTTTGCTACCATTTAATCATATTTCTTATTCCACTATGTACCAATATTTAACAAATCATTTTGTTAGATTTTTACTCTTTAAAAATTTGTCAGAAATATAAATAATGTTGTAATAAGTATCTTCACAGCAAACTCTCCACAAATACCCTTAAAATTTCCATAGAAATAATTTCTACAATTGGAGTTGCCCCAATTCTATGCAGGCATTTTGTTTTAGGCATTCGCCACATACTGACCAATTACTCTCTGCAAAGATTTGTCATCCCATATACACTGTAATTAGAACAGTAATAATCTCCCTTTCCCCATATTTCAACCAGCATTGTTACTGTCAATGTTTAAAATCTACAGATTTGTTAAGCAGCTTCTTTTAAAATTATGTTTGCCTTTCTTCCTGATAATTGGTAAAAAAAATTTGTGTACTATTTGTATTTCCTCTTGAGAGAAGCAAATAAAGCTGCATTTCTGCCCATTAGAATTCCCACATTTGGGAAGCCTCAGAGACTTGCCAGCCACACCTCCCTCCTCAACATTCTTTATGCAAGTAAGGATGTTGAGCAAGACCACAGAAGTGGCCCAGGAGGAAGCCTGCCATTTCACATATTGAGGCTCTGAAAAAAGTCCCCGCCTTAAACTAATAATTACTAACACTATACTATCAATGGAGCACTGTGTAAAAGGGTCAAGAACAGGGTCCCCCATGCTGTGGGAAACCCTGGATGACCCGCAGTTCCAGTACAAAGGGCTGGTCTCCATCGGTCCTGGCTGGGAGGTGACTGAGGCTGGTTCCTGCATCCCTCCTTCCTCAGTGATGTTCCACAACCATTCCTTACCATCTCCACTAACCATAGAAGGAATCTCAGCAGGCAACTCCTCCTTGCCAATTGCCAGGGTACCTGTTCATACCCTTTCCCCAATTTTATTGATATGTAAGGACCCAAAAGATCCCTTTACATAAGGATGTAAACTTCCTCTATAAAATATTTTAAAGGTAAATTTTCCAAAATACCGTCATCCTCCTACAGACGTCTTCAATCCTACTCCCCAATTTTCATTTCAATGAATTTTAGAAATTCCCCACACTCTTCATCTGGGGAAAGGGTCACCAGCCTGCTTGTAATCGCAGGGCAGTGGTATAATCTGGGAATTACACCCTGGGCCCTGAGCCTGGCTGCCTGGTCTTAACACTGAACTCATGATTCCTTCCACAATGACCTCGGACATATGAGTTAACCTCTCTATGCCTCAGGCTCTCTACATATTGAGAGACTGTAAAACAGAAATAAAGATAATATCTGCCTCAGAGATTACTTTCCCCACTCAACACTTTCTATGTGCTTAATATAAAATGAGCCATTAAAGACCCACAACCACCCTTTGAGGCTGGTTATTGTAATGATTAGAGGAAATAAAGTTCTCGAAACAGTGACTGACACATAGGTGCTTAATAAATGCATCATTTTTATTAAAATACATTTATTTAAAAACATTAGCCAAATCTGACAGAATATACTTTTTCTTTATGAAGAATTGTTCTCAAAATTAAAAACTGTTTGGTAAAATTTATAATTAAAATACATATTTATAAGAGTATGGGTTAAAAAGAAAATTTTAACTGGGCACTTCCGTATCTTAAGCCTTTCTAAGAAAATTTTTATTAAATTTCAGCTAAAGGACACATGAAATGTTCCATGCAAGTACAAACATAAAACAACAAAGAAGAATTTGAAAAAAAGGGTAGAGTTATAGTTAGCAATAAAAAAAATCACATTCATAAAGTGCTAACTATTGCCAGGTGCTCTGATAAGTAAGAATGTAAAAGTAAATTAAGCAAGTAAGCCTGGTCTATATCTCAGGAAGGCCAGAGTCCAGGAAGAGAAAAGCATTTAAAGAATTAACATACACCGTGGCCTAAGAGCGCTAACAGATACACACATCAGGTATTTTGGGAGTGAGTTTACAAATAAAGCAAAAAAGGTGTTTGCTAAGATGTAACCCAAACTTTTCTCTCACAAGAAAGAACTTACAGTAGGACATTCTACTCGACAAGCAAGTGAATTGCTCTCCTGTACAATCTGATAACTCTAGTTACCTATTTACTTTTTTATATCATTAAGGCAATGACAGATGGCTCTTAGAAAAAAAATAACATGGGCTTAGAGTCTGAACACTGAGATTAGGTGGCTTAGTCAAATTAAACTACGTGGGTCTTATTTGGTCTTAATTTCCTTCTATATAAAAGGAAGAAACCCAACTAGTTTGTTGGGTTACTATAAAGTTTAAATGAGGCTAAAACTGTTATCATTGTGAAAAATCTAATATATGAAAGAATTCAATAAAAGATAAATCAGGAAGTAGCTGTTTACTTAAGAATTTATCATAAAATCTGACTGAATTTCTTTTAAAAATGTATTTTACAGGGAAGCAACTCTTGGGAAATATAAGTACAGTTTGTGTTCATTAACTGTGAGAACCCCCCCAGGCCACCTATTGAGACCAAAGTCACTAATGATCAATTGTGAGATTAAACTGACTACTCTACTGAACCGCCTGAACCACTGGACACGGAGGCCTCCAGACCATAGTGATCACAGTAGATTGCACAGGGAGAAAGAAGGGAACGATCAGGTAAGGTCTCTGAAATTCAAACAACTATGTGGTCAAAAGCAGGGCGGTGACAAGGTCACCACTGAATGTTTGTTTCTTTTTTTTCTTAGAAACAGGGTCTTGCTATGTCGCTCAGGCTAGATTTGAACTTCTGGGCTCCTGACCTCAGCCTCCCAAGTAGCTGGGACTGCAAGTGTAGGCCACTATGCCTAAGCCCCTCCAGATCTTTCTACTCCATGCTGCAGATATATATACAATCAGCCAATCCAAATGTCCCTTTCTGTTTATACACTTAAGTCTTATAAAAAAGCTTTTATTTAGTTCAAAATACACAACTTTAAATAGAATAGCAGAAATATAAAGGGATTTGATGACTATCAACGAAGTGAAACAAATAAAATTGGTAATAACTTTTGTTTACATTTTGTCTATAAAATGTTAGCAAGGAATTATAGGAAGAACATATTGTAATTTAAAGGTCTTTTCATCCCAAATCTATCACTTTTTGATAAACTTCAAGCCCCAATTTTACTACATCTGTGATGGATAAGACATGTGATTATGTTTTACCAAATGGAAGGTAACTTACCACCAACGTGCTAGAAAAGAGTTGCAAAATGCCATAGGAGGAGCCTGTTAAAAACAAATCAATAAAATCAGCTAAACCTATCACAGAAATGGATTCATGCAATAACACTTACACAGAAACCAACAGAAAACATCAGGAAAGAGAGACCTTTTTTTTAAATCTCACATCATTTTTTTTTTTCTATCTGGAAAAATGGAAGTAATACAATTTTTAATAAAAGGTTTTCAAAAAATAGAAGATAAACGGAAGAGAGAATAAAGGCTAAAGGTGACCTTATGGATGCTGTATGATTGTCCTTCCGTCATGAGAACTGTGTAGCTTCAACTTATGAAACAGCATGGAGAGTACTCAGGGGAATAGAAATTTAAATTCTGAAAAAAATCCTAAGCCTTAAAGTTTTAACGTTGTCTGTCTCTAACATTTTATGGTTTTATAAAATCATTTAATTTTATCAAGAACTTACAAGGTTTTACAGAGTTTTTTTTTTTTTTACCTCCATTATCATGCAACATGCCCCATTTGCTTTTACCAAAAACCTTCAGGCTGCTGGGTGGTCCAGTGTAATTCCAAGTATATTTGTCAAGGGAAATACAAATCATGGCACGGACCATGATTTAACAAATATGTACAAAACTGTCCGCAAACACCTGCTTATTCTTGATCTTGTGAATGATCCAGAGCTGTTAGTCTCAACAATTTCTCACTGGTTAGCATGGTCCTAAGCCCTATTTCTTGGCTCTTTGATAAATCAATGACTTCTGGATGGAATTTTTATGCTGCACAGGCAGAGAAACCCTACGGTCTCCATGATGTGTTGGTGATAGTGTGGGAAGCTTGCAACTAATTGACTAATGTTCACCCAAACCCTTTTCCACAAGGTGTACTTTACGTAGATTATGTTTCCCTGGTCTCTCACCTTAGGTTAAGGGTTCCTGTAGGCAGGAGTCCACATATACCTACCCTTTCACACACACAGCCAGGTCCTGGCAGAGGCTCCATAAGTACCTGTTGCCACTAGTGGCATGAGACCTGGGTATAACACTCAAACCTCAAAATCTCCCTGAACATAGGTTGTCTACAAAAAAAGGAATTACATTTGCTGTAGGCTAATATTTTAAAATATTCTGGAAATTTGTTTTACTTCATTTCCCATTTACCTTTGGGTACTATTTGGCTACAAGATTGAACTGTTTTCAGGTACTTGGTTCAGAGGATTTAAAATTCAGTGCTCTAAAAATGAGCAGTATTGACCACTCACCTACTATTCCAGCAACTGTTGGACTTGCTCCAAGGGACTTGATGTGAAGGCTTAATAAAGGCACAACCATGCTGACACCAAACAAATCCTGAAATAAAATAAATGCTGATGGACTCAAATTAGTTTTTTTCAAACTTTTAAACCTAAAATTTTAAACTAATTTAAAAGTAAAACCAATATCTAAAATTTTAAATACATAAGAAATCATAATTTGATTCCATAGCATGCTATACAAATCCGCAGCCACTTGCAAATGCCTGGATTACAAATAACCTGGGATACATTTTAACTTTACATTCAAGGAGGATACGCTACAGAAGTTCCTCAAACAAAACAGACAAAAAAACCCCCCAAATTTTCTGTGAATGAATCATAGGAAAAAAAAATGCAGTCATAATTTGTATTTATTGGTGAACCAGCACTTGCTTAAAGATATATGTTTCCTTCTGGAGTTGGTGAAAGTGGCTAATGTCTTAGGACCTGTGGTTTATCAAGGCTCAGTAAAGCAGGAAGGAAAGAGAAAGCTGGTGCACTGGAGAAAGGCCAGTTTTTTGCAGGTAAGTCACAGAAAGTGAATGGAGTCAGGTTGACAGTTCTCAATTTCAGCTCCATCACTTACTAAACATGTATTTTTGGAAAGTCACTTAAAGTTACCAAACTTCAGTGCTGGGAGAAGAGTAATACCTGCCTGGTGGAAATATGATGAGCATTAAGTGGCATAATGCTTCAGAAAGGCCTGAAAAAACCATATAAGCTCAAACATGTCTTCTCCCTTCTTCAGTTCTGGTGATAAGTACAAACCCTTTTTGCTAGGTGTTCTGAGTTAATAGACAGACTGTTAATTTTTCCTTTAATTTTGTTCTTATTCTCACTTCACTAAGTTACCCACTACAGTTGGTTTAGGGGGAGAAAAAACATTGCACACACAGAGTTTTCATTATACCCAACCTGAATTCCTTCTCTCATAAACCTGGTTAGTTGGAAAGAACAAACTCCCATGAAATAGATATTTTCCTTGAGCTCAGAGTTAATCTTTTGTTCCCCCTTCCCTGTCCTGGTAGGTGTGCATTTATATAACTATAGATACATACATTTCCACATACTTTTTCAGTAGGCTTTTCCATGGTTACACCTTTAGAGGGCCCTGTTATCTAATATCAAGTGACTATAATTAATATTAAAATTATATTGCCAGAGTGATGATTTATTATTTTAATATTGCGATTACTTAAAATGTCCTTTGGGTCAGAGCCAATTTCTTTTGGGCTTTGCATCTCATCAGCCCACTGATGTTTACATTAAAAAGACTCATAATGCACCAGCCACCTACTGAATCTTCTGGATCTTTTGAAAAAGGAAACTCGATTGTCCAATAACAATTTTTTTTTTTCCAAAAAAAAATTTTTCAGTACAACATATCATTTAATAAAATGGTTATCCTGAATAAGAGATGGAAAGAAATATTCAGGTAAAGAGGCTGAGATCTGTAATAATCTAACTTGTACTAACCTAACTGACCCCATCTTAGCTGCTCTCTCTAGCCTCTCCCTCCCTGCTTCGACCCCCTCAGGTGCATTACTGGGTCATGCTGCACGTGGTGGCTCATGCCTGTAATCCAAGCACTTTGGAGGCCAAGATGGGCGGATCATCTGAGCTTGGGAGTTCAAGACCAGCCTGACCAACACAGTGAAACCCCGTCTTAAAAAAAAAAAAAAAAAAAAAAAAGAGTGGTTCACACTGTTCACAGTACCTGTAATCATCGTAACTGCATCCTGCTTGGCAGGTCTACTTGCTATTGTGAATACCTTCCCTGGTGATTGATTGTATGGAAAGTTGCCCCTGCTATCCCCCTTGATGAATGTATGGAAATACCCTTAGCAACCAAAAATCCTGGGAACCTCCTGCCCCCTGGTTACCAGCTTCCTTATCTAACTTGCTTGTTCTGCTTCTGTAAAATTCCACTTCAGCTAGACTCCCCCTCCCCTACCTAAATCAAGGTATAAAGGGAAATCAAGCCTCTTCCTCGGGGCGAGAGAATTTTGAGCATTAGCAGTCTCTCGGTGGCCAGCTAATAAAGGACTCTTAATTTGGAACTCAGAGCATGGCGTGTTCCTTCTGACTCGCTCCGTTACAACAGAGCTATGGAAGGTAAATATGAAAATACAGACTCAAAAGTAATAACTGATGATTGGTATTACTTTAGCACTTGCTGAGTCTGAAAAAGACTATATTCTTCAAAGGAGACTGGCCACTGAATCTTTTCTTTTGGGAAGTTCTGTTCTAAAATGGTCTTCTCCTTTCCTATAAAAGGCAACTCCTTTCTGATTCTGAATTCATAGCTTCTTCAAAATCACTGTATTTGTCAACTGGTCATGTGCATATAACCACTTATAAAAAGATGTCAGAAGGGGCCATTTAAACTTTTTACTGAACGTCAACATTTCTCAAAAATTGATGAATATATACACTCAAAAGTTTCAGGACTCTTTTCAGGGTAGGAACCCCAGTAAGTATTGATTACTGGACTATCTCAAGAAAAATGAATAAAGCTGAATAAAGCTGATGGGATGGAAAACAAATGTCATCAAATATCTGGAGAAAAAAAGTGGTTGAAATAATAGATCTCATCATCATCTACGCATCATAAACAAAATGGGACTCAAGGGTTATCTTGGTCTTCCCTCCTAAATCAATTAAAACCTGGAAGTACAGATAACTGCTAAAGCAGAACAATTTGGCAAATGACTTCTCTAATCTTGTTCCCTTACTCTACCAATCAGAAACCATTTGTCCAAGAATCTTAGAGTTCTCTACATCCCTAAATATGTCAAAAATAATAACTAAATTACATATAGTCTTCCTTAGGTGTTACCCAACAATCATCTGTCAGGTAGCTTTATATGACCTGCAAATAAAGCTTCATGTATTTTAATTGTTTACAATATTTTCCATTAAAAAAAATCCCTAGTCTCTTAATTTTTTGGAAACTATACATTTTTCTCTTAAGATATGAGACATCAAATGGTTCTCTTGAATACATTGTTAAAGTTATTGAAATTCTGTGTCAGGCTTGCTAGATTAGACTTGTCAAGTGCACAGCATAAAGAAAAATATGAGAAGCTGTGAATATTCAAATCTGTATTGGAAGGCTGACTTTAACAAATGATCTGTGGTTTGCTTTGTTTTATTGTAATACCCAAACTATTTTGAATTCTAGGTCATGTTAGTTTCCACATTCTCTGAGCCCTAGTCTGGACTTTCCAAATAAGGGCTCAAATGTTGTCATCTGGCCAAACCAGTCCAAGTTCCTTCTGAGATAGGACAGCAGTAGCTTGGGACCCACATCTAACAAGGGTGGATGGCAGCCAGCTCCTCTCCAAAAACCACCCATACTCACTGGTTGTGAATTCTAGGTGACTACACTGAAAAGTAAAAGTCCACACTGAGAATGAACTAATAAAGAGATGAAAGGAATAGTAGTCAGAAGGAGTGCCAGGCTCTGAAGTTAAAGGCATGGAGCTGGAGGGTGGGTCCTGCAATGGCCCTAGAGGCAGAGAGGTCCTCTCTAACATGCCACCCTTCCTGAGGGCCTTGTGCTTCTGCATTTGCAGAAATTTGGTGAACATACTTTCATGGTGGTCTTAACTATTAACTCAACAGAGTTGCTGTCAACTGTTGAACACCTTGCATGGAGGTGGGGGCATGGAGAGTGCATGAGACTGGGAGAAGTGGTGGTCTTGACCTGCATTTGGGCAGAAAACAGTGATTCCTCTCTGCCAGGGCGGAGTGCCATAAGGTACTATCTTCAAGGCCTCAGAAGGTAGCCTTTTCCCATTGATATTTACTTCAGCTCCCTTTGCCCTCAAGATACTGGATTAGCTCACACCCAGGGCTACTGTACTAGGCCTAGCCTTGGAAAGGGAGGACTGCGAGGTAGATCTAGGGTTCCTGCATATAATGGCCCAAAAACTACCAACGTCAGCTTACTTGTAAGGCTAAATTCTTCGGTGGCAGAACTGTGGATTACAATAGTGGGGCTCCACAGCAACTACCATATGGCAGGTGTTCAGAAATGCCATGAATCAGTTTACTAAACTTTCCATTCTACATGGGAAATTAGCACTCAGGGAGCAAACCAGGACACGCACACACTCACACCATGATGAAACCAAACCTATGTTGTGCAATGCACCCGTATGTCCAAAGGTAGATGGGTACAATTCACTCTGATCTGCATTTTTAAACTTTCAAGTCAACCAAGAGCCCTAGAGAAAATGCACCCAATTCCGTACCAGTGGGAAGAGCGGCTGCCCCTGCCTGTTCTGGTAAAAGGCAAACTAGGCACACGCACACACATCATGATGAAACCAAACCTATACTGTGTGAGGCACACAGTTTGTCGAAAGGCAGATGAGTACAATTCACTCTGATCTGCATTTTTTAAAATATTCTAGTCAACCAAGAACCCTAGTGAAAATGTGCCTAATTCTGTCCCAGCGGGGTCATCAACAGCGGCCTCCCCTGCCTGTTCTGGTAAAAAAAGCCGGCGTGTCCCTACCGCACCAGCAGCAGCTAACCAGCTGGGCTTTTCCAAGCTTGCCCAAGCCCCTGTTCCTCGCCCTACAAAAGCTGCAACTGCCACAGCATTTAACACCTGGCCACACCTGAAGCTGGTACCAGGGCTTCTTAAAAGGCAGGGAAGGGCAGAGGCTCTGCGAACTGGGGTGCAAGCGAAAGCGCGAGGGTCAATAAAGCAGTGTGAAGCGGGTGATGGGGCAAGAGGAAAGCTTGATAGGTAGTGAGGCACCCACCAAGCGGACTGCGGGTTCCCACCCCCGGGAGCTTCAAGAACCGCCTGGGTCCCAAGGCCCGAACAGTCAGCCCTTGCCCCCAGCCCCACGCTCGCACTCACCAAGAAGCCCACTAAGTAGAGACAGAGCAGGAAGCGGCGGGCTCGGACGGCACCCGAGTCGGCAGCCTCTGCCTGGGTTCCTGTCCTCCGCTCCTGTGGCAGCTCTGCCGTCTCCGAGACCAGCCTCCCGTTGGAGCTCCTGCCCCAGCGACCCCCGAGCTCCATATCCGGGCCGGGTCGGGGGCCGACGCGGCAGCAGCCGGGACCGGACCCGGGAGCCCGGCCCCGCCCTGAGCGGAAGCAGCAGGCGCGCGCCTGCGCAGAGAGGGGCGGGTGCTACCTGGCAGTTCCGCGAGTGCGTGGCCGCGTCTGCCGCCAACAGCTCTGGTCCCAGGCAAGGTGGAGACTGGGCACATCACCAACATGGTAAGCACGCGCCAGTTTTGTGATGATAGTGCTGATGCTCATAGTTTCCTCTCGGTACAGACACTGCTGCCCCTATCGTTGGAGGACAGGAGGGAATTGCAATGAGCTTCACTTACTCGTATGGGGTTATCCTAGGAGGTGACCAAACCCAGCTTGAAGATCCACAGACCGTGGCCCGCCGTTGTTTGAGACGGACCTGGAATACGTTAACGTGGCTCTCCAGGCTTCCATTTGCCCATTTAAAAAGCAGTAGGAAATAATGTATGCCAACTTCTAGAGGTGTTAGAGTTCTACATATGCCTCTTACCCTCCTTCTCTGGTGCGGTGCAATGTGAACAAACCATAGACAGTCCATGCCTGAGTTCAGGTTACAGTCTCATGGAATAAAAATAATAAGCACACAGTAAATAAACATAAAAATACTAAACATGCCATAAGAAAAGCATACAATAAGTAAAATACTATGGTGATAAAGAAGCGTGGTCTTCACGTGGGTACTGATGAAACGGGGAGTGAGCTACTTTTGAAAAGCAGTTTGGAGAAGGTGACATGTAAGCTGAGAAAAGTGGAAGGAAGATATGTGTGGCTGAACCTTTCTCATCAAACTGAGAGGTCAGCAGAGGTGCAGACCATTTAGGACCCAGAAGGCCATGACAGAGATTTGGGGTTTATTCGGAGTGCAATGAAAGGAATTAAGTGAGTGCATGATACCACATAATGTCTTTAAATTACTTTTCAAAGTCCATGACACATGGTAAGTAATACACATTAACAATAGTGAATAGCCCCTCTTTTTTTTTTAGAACTCATTGTTTATTCCTCTTTCACTATGGTTTCAAGAAGAGTCTGACATTTTACTGAGATTTTGCTCAAAATCTCAATTTAATTGTGTAGGTGGTTAAATTCTGGGATCTGTTAAATTCAATGTTGCAAAATTTCTCATGGGAAAAGGCACTGAATAGGGAGGAATGGAATACTGATACTTAGAATTAAGACATATGTTTGAATCCGGGTGGAACTGTCAATCTTGAACCTCCAAGTTATTCTGAGACTCCTTTGCAGGAGAACTGGTTTGCTCTCCTATAGCTGAGGAAACTAGTCTTCTTGTACTTGAAATTTTGTGATTAATCATCTGGGAAAAGTGCCTCGAAGGGAGATGCTCATGTTAACCCATTAAAACCACTCACTGTAGCTACTAAATACATAGCTTGGGTGAAATTTTAACATGCTCCAGTGACAGGTACACATTATAACCTAGGAGGAAATTGCATCACTTAAAGAATTGTAAGTCTCTGCTAATACAGAATCAATGTAAACTTTAGAAATATGGGGAAGAGGTTTCCAAGGGTATTAGACAAAAGAGGGAAAAAATGTAATACTAGATTAGGCAGAACCACTAATATAGGTGCATTTGCTACAGATACCAGCTGTAGTATGTTAGCTTGTACAGCTGGGGGCAGCTCTAATATTTTACTCAGTTGGTTGAAATTTAGACTCAAAGATAGCCTACATTTAATGATGTTCAGATGCCAGAGTTTTCCTGGCAAAATGTGGATAAAGGACCCCAAAAGTTTTGGGAAAATGAGAACGTCAGACCTGCAACCCTAACACTCAAATATATTCCATGAAAAGGCCCAGAAGACACTATGTGCACTAAGGCATTAAAGAATGTGTTAGTGAGAGATGTACTTGCATTTTTGAAAAGATTTGCAATTGCTCTCTTTTTGTAGGCCAGGTATAGCCATGGAAGATACCACCATTAAAATAAGCTCTCTGATGTAAATGAGGATAAGATTTCCAGACTATCAGAGGCCAGGTCATAGCACTTAAATTCCAAAGACAATGTGGACACATTTACTTTTTTTTTTTGCTTGTTTGTTGTGACAGAGTCTCGTTCTGTCACCAGGCGCCAGGCTGGAGTGCAGTGGCGCGATCTCAGCTCACTGCAACCTCCACATCCCGGGTTCAAGCAATTCTCCTGCCTCAGCCTCCCGAGACTGGGACTACAGGTGCGTACCACCACCTCCAGCTAATTTTTGTACTTTTTAGTAGAGATGGGGTTTCACCATGTTGACCGGGATGGTCTCAATCTCTTGTCCTCATGACCCACCCGCCTAGTCCTCCTAAAATGCTGGTATTACAGGTGTGAGCCACTGCGCCCGGCCGACCAATTTACTTTTAAGGTCAGCAGGAGTGTACCAGTCAACAGAATGCCTTGACCTGCAGGGATCTTTGGCTATGGCTAATTGACTGTAGCATCCCTAGGAATGAAATAATCAGAAAGCCTACCAGAGAATTGGTTAAGTTACATAACAGAATATACTCTAGATCTAGTACCACAAACCCTGATTTGACTTTCCACAAATCAAAAGAATTACAGCCTTTTACACAATTACTAGACATAATTCAATTCAAAAACAATCTCTTGATTCAAGGGGAACCCAGGTAACCTTGAGGAAGGATCTTGTGGCATTCATTTGAGTATATTCCATAAATCTTCCTCTTAGCTTTCCCCGAAGGGACCTTCAGCCATTTACTAGAGAGATTGTGCATTGTGAAAAAAGGAATACCCAGTTCCTAAACTCTGACTCTGAATTTACACCAGTTCTTGGGGACTCAAAATGTCACTCTGTCGAACCAGTCAAAGTGGAGCTGAATTGAGAGTCCCTGAGACCATTTGTTTCAGGTTCAATGAATTGCTAGGAGATAGAACTCAGCACGTAGTCATACTTGTGGCTAACATTTATTATGGTTAAAGGATACAAAGAAAAATCAGCAAAATGGTTTGCATAGTGTGAAATCTGAAGGAAAATAGGCACAAGACTCCAAGAATCTCCTCCCAGTGGATTCACATGAGACATGATTAATTCATCCAGCAATAAGTTATGACAAAACAGTGAAATATTGTTGACCAAAGAAGCTTAGAAACTTAGTGCCTGAGGTTTTAATTGTGGGCTGGTTATTTAGGTCCCTTTCTACTTAGCACCTATCAAAACTCCAGACTCCCTGGATGAAAGCATTTTTAGTATAAACCATACTGTTTGTACAAACAGTTTGTACACAGTGTACCATCTTACAAGTTAGGATAGTAAAAACCCTACCAAAATCGCAGTTCCCAGATGCTAGCCAAGGGATAACACTTTAAGCAAAACTTTTGAAGAATAACAGGCCTACTATATTAACTCTTTCTTGTACACAAGCTTATAGTAGTCAGGTGCTAGTTAAAATCTTAGCTCAAGTCTGATTCATAGTGGGCCTAGTTAATCAATATATTTCCTCAGTTTCTGAATGTATAATTGAAATAGAATGTTTGACAACTGACAGTATTCACAAATTAGTTCTGTGACCCATGGGTGATATCCTCTATGGTAGAAAAGACTGAGTGGAAATACCTAGAACTTTCTTACCAAGATAGTAAAACAGAAGAAATACTTAATTTCTGGAGGAATTAAAGAGATTAAGTCATTATAAAAGGCTTAAAAGAAATAAAGGTGGCCATTTCTCTCACATCCCCCTTTAACTCTGATCTGCTTGGCCTATGAGGAAGTTAGGTGGATCATGGAGAATGACTATGCACTATCATAAACGTGATCTTGTGTTACACCAACTGTGGCTGATATCCCAGATGTACCTTTGCTGGAATAAACCAAGATGGTGTCTGATACATGATAAACTGCTACCATCCTGGCTAATGATTTTTGCTTGTTTTTGGTCCCTACTAATTTGTAAGGACAAATTGAAAAAAAGTGATCTGCACAACTAACTGTAAGACATGGGGTGACCATATGGCCTGTTTTCCTTCATGAAACGGCTGTTCTCTAACCCACTGTGTTAATTTCCTATAACTGCTGTAACAAATTGCCACAAACTTGGTGGTTGAAGACAATAGAAATGTATTATTTCACAGTATTGGTTGCCAGGAACCTGAAATCAGTGTTACTCTATAAAAATGATGAAAATTATGGTGTCAGTAGGGCCATGCTCTTCTGGAGGCTCTAAGGGAGATTCTACTTCTTGTCTTTTCCAGCTTCTTGTGACTGTCAGCATTCCTTGGCCTGAAACCACGTCACTTTAATCTTCAGGGATAGCAATTTTAAATCTCTTTCTGCTTTGCCTTTCCATTGCCTTTGCATATGTGTCAAATTCCCTCTGTCTCTCTCTTTTGGGGTTACATATAATTGTTGAGGGCCCATCTGGATAATCCAAAATAATCCCCACATTTCTCAATCCTAAATCACATCTGAAAATAACCTTTAGCATTTGCCATATAATCAAACACTCATAGGTTTTAAAGTTTAGGACATAAACATTTTTTGAGAAGCCATTTTTCAGCCTTTCCCACCTATCTAGACATAAGGTTATATGTGTGCACCATCAACTGGAAGTTCAATTTTGGGCCGTCTCAGAATGAATAAGTGAGTTACATAACCTTGTGGCTTGACTTAGAGTCCTTTGACAATAAAACCTGTTGCATTTTTCCTCTTCATGCATACCCCTGGCCTCCTGGGAAGTTCCCTACAACCAGCTAACTGAACAAGAAAAAACTTGAGCTTGATTTACAAATAGGTCTGCGTGATATCCTGGTGCCACCTGAAAGTGGACAGCTATAGTACTATAGTACTACACTGAGTGGCTCTAAAGGATAGTGGTAAAGGAAAATATGCTCATTGGTTGAAACTTCAATTGGCACTGTGTTGTCCACTTTGCCTGGAGTGAGAGAGAGCCAAAAACAAAGTACACTATTCACAGACAGTTTCTTGTAGATTGGGTGGAACAGATTAGTGGCAAGGAAGTTTGGAAAAGAAGTATGTGGATGGATGTCTGAAAAAGGGCACAGATTGGAGAAGGTATTTTTGTCT